AGGGTTGTATAAGGATTTAAGAAGCTGTGTTTGGAAGGTACTTATATAAGTATACATGTCTGTTTCATTTTAAAATGTTGCATAAGTGTTCAGCAGCCATGCAAGGAGAGAAAAGCATTCTTTGTGCTGTAACAAAATTTAAAATGAGCTGAAGAGGTCAAGAAATGATCAAATGACAGATCACTTCAGTGTGCCTGGAATTGTAAAAGTGTTAGCAAACACCAGACACCAAATACAGGACTCTAAACCTATTTAATGTGCTTGAACCTGATGGTAAAATATTCCTAAATGTGCTGTCACATACCTGTGTAGGAACTGAGGGTTCCAGTCTGTGTCTAGTTTGTGCCCCAGGAAGCATACCCTACCTCTCTGTCCCTGAGTCATCTAAAAATGAAAGGAATCAGACTGCGCGTCTGGTCTGTAAGGCCCAGTTCTGAAAGTCCCAGGAAGATGGCAGCCTGGTCCTTAGTGCTGTGCTTTAACCCCCTGCACCTCCAGGGAGCGCCCATGCAGCCTGGTCCTTAGGAAAATACTAAAGGAAGAGAAAAATCACGTTTTCACAGAAAAAGTGTCTGTGTCATCCTTTCCTTTCCACAGGGCAAAAATAAAAGTAGAAAACAAAGTCATCAAACTTGCTCTCATGGTCCCATTTGAGTAAAGAAGCTGCCGCAGAACCAGTAGCCTCATTCAGGGGCCACTAAAAAGGGTCTCTGGCAGCGAAACTTGTAGAGAGGGCCCCGGGGGAGAGTCATCTGTGTAGAGCCATTAAAAGCCACTGAACCAGAAACAATTTTCAGTGTTATGTATATGATTCTATTTATATTAAGTATGTAGGATAGGCAAACCCATAGAAAAATAAAATGGATTCATGGTTTCCAGTGACTGGGATGTAGGAGAAATAGTAACTGCTAGTGGAAATAGCATTTCTTTTTGGGGTGATGAAAATGTTTGGAAATTGGGGTGATGAAATGTTTGGAAATTAGATAGTGGTGAGGGCTGCACACTTTACAAATTGTACACTTTAAAAGCGTTGTATGTGAAAAGGGCAGTGAGCCAGTCAATCTTATAACAGAGGTTCCTAATATTATCCAGTGGTTTGCCTTCTCCTGTCAGCACCAGAGGAAAGCAAAGAGATTAAATAATTCTGCCACAGCTCTTAATAATGAGAAAGCTAGAATTAGATTTCAAATTGCCTATGTAGGGAGGCCAAAAAGTCTGGAAACAAAGGCAGGGGATAAAAGGCTCTCCTCTCAAAGAACTCAGAGGTAAACAACATATAAAGAAAGTAAGAGTGAGCGGGAGGAACAGGGTTGCCTTCCTTGAGCAGGGCCAGCCTCAGCTGGGTGTTTCAACATGTCCAGACCTGACCTCAAGTCCCACCCACAGATTTCCCAAGATGGTGACTCAAACTGGGAAGTGAGGTTCTCCAAATTTTTTAAGATCCCATGCTGGCCTTTACACACAATCTGTGGGCCCTGCTCCATAATGGCCCAGGAAAAGGAAAATGCAGGAGCATAAGTTTTCCGTTTTCAGGAGAGAAAGGGATCAGTAATAGTTGGCAGGATTATTCATTACTTGCAGGGGGCACGCGAGTCAGAAAGACCTTAAAATGCAAATCATCTCATGTTACACTCTTCCAAAGCATTCAGAAAACATGCAAATTCCTAACCACCACGTAGAATAAAATGTACATTGTGTACTGGCTTCAGCCCTGCCCACTGGCCCCTGCCCTTCTCATCCTCCTGTAGCCACTTCCTTCACAGAAAACTTCCCCCAGTTCCTTCACCTGCTGCCCCTGGGCTTGGCACACTCATCTCCCTCTGCTGGACCCTTTCTGATTCCTCACATCTTAACTGTGAGATTGTGGCAGATAACTATTTGAGAAGGGTCCTTCCAGTTACTCTTTACACAGTCAATTTTTTGTAGAGGGTTCACCTACTCTACAGCTAATTTACTATTTCTTTCAGCCACCTTGGTAGTTGGTTCCTTCAGGAAAATGAAGAACACATCTGCCTTAGCCCTGGTGTATCTAAAGTGTTGCCACTGTGACTGATTAGCACATGATTGTTGCAGAATAGCTAAATCTTTATTTTTAAAAATAACTCTGGCTGGGGAACATCAAGAGAATTATGAGGCAAGGAAAACAACTGAAGTGAAGGCAATCACAGACCACATTTGAAGTGACTCTGACTTAGGTACTATGGATACTACCATTTTCAAGAAATTTATTTTGACAGTTATACACATTGGTTAAGCAATGAACAGGCTTGATGAGACTAATGTAATACTGACTGCCTGATTGTTTATTAACTAGGGTCTTATGTGTTTTACTGCGCACATAATTCCACATCTTATTGAATCTCTTTCACAAAGTAAAGGCCAATTAGGCCTCTGGATTATCTCAGGAATAAAAGGACACTTCCCCTACCCCTTTACCCACTTTTAAGGATAAAAAGCACAGGGTACTGCTGTCACCATATACCAGAAGTTCCAACATTTCTCATTAAATTCTTTAAGATTTGTGGGAAAAAAAATCAACGTAGTTAACACCCCTCCCCCCAGCAATACCATTTAAGAATTTCTAGGGGCAAGATCCAGGCATTAGTATTTTTTAAAGTTCCTCAGATAATTCCAACGAACAGCCAAAGGCTGAGAACAACTGTTTAGGGAAAAGTCCATATACTCATTTAATTCACTCAATTAATTCCTGATTTCCTAATTATTGTTGACTCATGTTTATTTTAAAGGTAAAAAAGTTGGGTCTATCAAAAAGGAGTAAACTATGAATAAAGTACCAACCCCAAGATATTTATGTTATTTCTTGTGTTTTGCTTAAATTGTTAAATTCCTTTGATTAGATTTTTAATAATTTTCTAACTAATATTAAAGAATACTTCAAATGTCACTTTACCACTGATATTTAAATAGAAAAGAAAGTGTGTATACCTGAAAAGAGTAATTCTAACATATGTATAATTTACTTACCTGAACTACCCAGAAATTCCTTGCAATAGGCAGGGACATTTAATATCTTATAAGTAAAAAGAGGCATAATATAAAATTCTAGAAAATGAATGAATGATTACAAATGATAAAGCCAAAAAAAACTGTATTGAAATTACTTCAAAATATAACTAAAGAAATTGTCCCTGATAGAATTAACCCACTTTTTTTTAATACTTTTCAAGTCAAAGAAAAGTATGTCCTAGTTCTGCCTTCATCTCAATTACATCCACTCCCATACATATATAGATCTATATATCTCACTTAGAAAGAGATCTCTAACTTTTTAAAGTCCACACCAATGAACAGCCACACCATCAGAGAAGGTTATGTTTCTCACAAGATTATGTACAAGATGGCACTGATGCAGAAATGGTGTTTTTTATATTATTTGGTATTTTTTGAAAATCCACATTTCTTGCCAGTTCATCGTAACTCAAGCAGCTAGGCAATTACTAATGTGACACACAAGATTGATTCTAACTGTGATCAATAACATCTAAAGCACAAACCTGAGAAAGACTTTGACATGCTTTTCTTTTGTTAAAGTACACCTTTTATATATATATATATATACATGCATATATGTGCCATTTATTATACATATACACATATATATGGGGGGGATAATATATTTGCAACTAAACCCTCACTTAGGTTCTTCCTTCTGACGCTTCTCCTTTTGTAGCCAACTTCCTTGAAAACATCTTCTTTCTCATGGAACACAGTATATATACTTTGAATTAGTGTTAAAGAACACCTTTAAATGCAGTGATATGCAAGCCATTTTTAATCAGGTTTGCTTACTAACTTTCTATATATATCATGTAGCAGATGACATTTTATGGAAAACTGTTATTCATGTACTTTTTTCACTGACCGACAAGCCAAACCAGTTTTTCTGGACTTCCTCTGGCATCATTTGGTATTCACATAAAATCTAAATGGTATGTTCCTGGACAGGGAAAGCACTTCTCAACTGTAAGACAGAGGACTTCCAAATTCATAAGCAAGCAATGCATGTAGGTAGACTTTCTGAGTGTCCCTGTGTGTCTGCACCAGACTAATACGGTTATTGTGTCATTTTCACTTAATTGTTCAAGTCAAAACGAAAATGTCTATGAAAATGTTACTTCCCTTCCAGTCATATGTTAAATTCTACCCTAGTTCATGACAGAAACAAGGTATAGTAATGTGTGTTTAGCGTTATGGCTGAAGTCTTTTCTTTCTTAATTTTTGTCCCTAGGGTTGAGGATAATTGCAGCTATCATTTTAATGACAGCAAAATCCACCAGCTTTCTTAGGAAGAACTGTAGAGTCAAGCAAAATTAATTTGTGGGAAAGAATGATTCCTATCTCAATGAATCTAAAACTTAAGCTGTAGAATATTTGTTAAAAAAAAAAACATACTGTAGAGTAAAAACAGCTTCAACCAGAAATTCGGATCGAACTCTGATGATTCATCTTTAATTAGTTTAATTATATAATTATTTATAAAACCAAGATCACATTAATTATATAGGGATACTCCTATCCCTATAAAAGGGGTGCATTTTATTAGGTTTGTTTTTATACTAGGGTAAGCATTCCTATTTGCCTGTAATAGTTGGTGAAGCTTTTTAAATTCAAGAAGGTAAATTCTCTCTAGCATATGAATTAACATAAATTCAAAATTAAGAAAGTCCTCACTGGTGGGATTTTTACGTCTCCGAACTTAATTAAAGGTGAAATACACATGAAAATAGTTATTAAGAAGAAATCGGCTCTCTTGGCCCATAGAGATCTCCCTGTCAGACACACCAAGCCAGTATAATCCGATAAAATATACATTTCAGAGAATCATCAGGCATCAAATTAAGCTCTAAAATGTGTAAACCTAAGCAGTCGGTTACTCAGTGCTTTGATGTGTCTCCCAGAAAAGTGGCGCTGTACTGTAACCCGGGCAACCCCGAGTCCCAGGAAAGTGGGTGAAAGTGAAGGGGGCGAAGACCACTTACGAGATGTAGGCTGGGTAGCCAAATCCTATCAGGTTGCAGAGGAGAGAAGCTCCATAACCGAACACCAGGTACAGGGCCAGCAACCCGATGAGACCTACAGATCCGAAGACGGAACTGAGTCAGGTGGCACCAGTAAGCTCAAGCCCCGCAATCCCCCGCCCCCCATGCGAGCTCGGTTTAGGCGTTCAAGAAAACAAACCACACCGAGGTTGGGCCTGGCCTCCACTTTCCATTGAGTCCTTCAGTCTGCGGATACCCGGCACCGCCCCCTCCTCCCATTGTGCCCTCAGCCAGACCTTTCTCCCCCGGGGCTCAGCCCAGCCTCGCCCGCCGCGAGGACCGACACGTCAGCGCCTCGCGGCTCCGCGTCCCACTCGCCACCTGGCCTGGGGGCACAGGCCGGCGACGCCCAGTCCTGGCCATGGCGGGATCTGCGGCCCCTGGCCTTTGACGGCCGCTAGTTCGGTCCCAGAGGAAGCCTCTCGGTCCCGCGTGTGCCCGACGCCGCCTTCCCAAGCCCTGTCCGCTACTTCCCCAGCAGCCGGAGCGACAGCTGCCTCCCGAATCCGCGGCGCCGGCAACCCGGAACCAGGCACCCACCGAGCGCGATGTAGCTGCGGTTCACGCCTGTCTTGGCCTCCAACTTGGCCAAGAGGTCGGTCATGCAGTTCTTCTCGTGCAGGAATTGGTCGAACCTCTGCCTCATAGCCGCAGACATGGCGGGGACCTTTGCGCCGCCCGGGGCTGCTCCTAGTGCAGTGGCCGCCGAGCTGGGTGCCGGGGCGGGAAGCGGGCGGGGCGGCGGCGGGCGGGGCGGCCTCTAGTCCACGTCCTCGCGGCGCCCGCCCCCTTAGCGCCACACCCGGGCGGTGGCCCGCTCGGAGGTGGCCAGTGCTGCAGCAGCGCCGAGTGCTGTTGACAGCTCGACCGCGCAGTCCACCAAGGGCATTAGGAATCGCGAGCTATTGACAGAGGGCAAAACGAGGGTGGAGGGAGCGAGCGCGATGCTTACGCCCACCCTCAGAGGAATGAGACTGGCTTCAGGTACCTTCGCTGCTGTATTGTTAAAACTAGCAGGCCTTTTAAATGTATATGAAAATTGAAATGATCCGCCATCCTGAAATAACCCTTTGGCTACTGACCTCATTTTTCCTTCCTTGCCAGACTCAGCATCGTTTTTCTCACGTATTGATGTTAGTTTTTAAAAAGATTGCTGAAAAAAACATGTGGAGGGGGTGGGGTGGGGGGGAAGAGGGACACTGCACTACCCAACTTTTCATGGTGGATTTGCATTCACTTGATGTCTGATGTGGTGATAATATTTCCACCCCTCTTCTGCATTTATCTCACCAACAAAATCACCCTGATGATGGTCTTTCAGCTTTGGAGTACGAGTTCCTTGGATTTTCTTCAGGAACTCTATACTTGCTCTTCCTCCACCTGAACCTCATCTCCTGTTCTCTCTCACCTATATTATTCTAGGAGACTCCTTTTGAAATGATTCTTTTTCTAAGAAAGGAACACTCCTATCCTCATGGAGATTAAAATCCACAGTACTGGCCCTCCCTGGTGGCGCAGCGGGTTAAAACACTGCACTGAGAAACTAAAGCCACTTCCACATGAGTTTGATCCCCGCTTGCCCCGGAGGTGACCACATGGCGCGGCAGACCTCTCCTGAGCCGCCCGCTGCTCCCCTCAGCAGTGTAGTTCATCGATCTGCCTGTTCTGCTTCCCGCTCTGTCTCTGGTGAATCCTCTCACCCTCCACATTTCTGGTCTGTACCCCAGTTCTGTATGAATAAATAAATAAATCTTTAAAATAAAAATAAAAATAAATAAATAAAAAATCCACAGTACTGGAAGATCACTAGATTAATGAGGAGATCAAGGAAGAAATTAAAAAATACCTTGAGATGAATGACAATAAGTACACATCCCTCCAGAACATATGGGACAGAGCAAAAGCAGTTATAAGAGGAAAATATATAGCAATACAGGCTCACATCAAGAAAGAACTCAAAAATATAAAGTCCCACCTTAACAAACTGGAAAAAAAGAACAACACAAAAGCCAGTATAAGAAAGTAGATAATAAAAATCAAAGCAAAATAAATGAATAGAAGTTAAGAAAAGAACCCAAAGGTCAACAAAACAAAAAGCTGGTTCTTTGAAAAAATAAACAAAATAGACAAACCTCTAACCAGTTTCACAAAGAAAAAAAGGGAGAAAACACAAATAGGATCATAAATGAAAGAAAAGAAAATCACAAGACATGACAGTCCAAAAGAATAGTAAGAGATAAGAATAGTAGGTAGACAAATTCCTACAAACTTACAATCACCCAAGGTTCCACAGAGAAGAAATAGAACACCTAAACAGGCCAATTACAAGCAGTAAAATTGATACAGAAATCAAATCTCTCCCCAAAACAAAAGTCCAGGACCAGATGGCTTTCAAATGAATGTTACCAAATGTTCAGTAACGAACTAGTGCCTGCCCTATACAAACTCTTTCAAAAAAATGAGAAAGAAGAAATACTACTGGGTCCTCACTTGTGTTGCAATGTATTAAAGTGCAGCTCTGCAAGCTAACCACAGTCCCTTCAGTGCAGGTTCAATCCCCAGCCCTGGAGGTATTCCATATGGAGCAGTAGACTTTTTCTGTCTTGCCCACTGCTCCCCTCAGCAGTGTACTTCAGAGATCTGCCTGTTCTGCTCCCCACTCTGTCTCTGGTGAAGCCTTCACTGCCCTTGTACCTCTGGCCTGTACCCCAGTTCTGTATGCATAAATAAATATATCTTAAAAAAAAAAAAAAGGAATACCAACCAGATTTATGAAGCCAACATTATACTAATACCAAAACCAAACAAGGGCAACACAAAAAAAGAAAACTACAGGCAATCTCTCAAATGAACACTGATGCAAAAATCTTAAATAAAATTCGAGCTAATAGAATCCAATAATGCATCAAAAAGATAATGCACCATGACCAAATGTGATTTATCCCAGGGGCACAAGGATGTTGCAACATTAGAAAATCAATTAATGTAATCCAACACATCAACAAAAAGAAAAAAAAAACATATGGTCATATCAATAGATACAGAGAAAGCGTTTGACAAAGTCCAATATCCAGTCATGATAAAGATACTTGAAACTCTTGGGATAGAAGGAATATACCTTAACATCATAAAACCATATATGAGAAACCCAAAGCCAATGCCATTCTCAATGGCAAAAAGCTGAAATCCTTTCCCTCAAGGTCAGAAGCAAAACAAGATGTCCACTCTCACCATGGCTTTTCAGTATAATACTGGAAGTCCTAGCCAGATCAATAAGACAAGAAAAAGGCATACAAGGAATCCAAATAGGGAAAGAAGATGTAAAAATATCACTGTGTGCAGATGACATCATGATATACATAGGAATCCCAAAAGCTCCACAGAAACCAGTTTAGTAAAGTAACAGGATACAAAATCAACACCCAAAATCAATAGCCTTTCTATATACAAATAATCATTTTGAAGAAGAAGAAATCAATTCCCTTTATAATTGAAATAAAAAAGATCAAATACTTGGAAATAAACCTAACAAGAGGTGAAGGACCTCTATAAAGAAAATTATGAAGCATTGTTAAAAGAAACAGAAGATGACACAAAGAAATGGAAAGAGATCCCTTGTTCATGGATTGGAATAATTAACATCATTACAATGGCCATCCTACCAAAAGCAATTTATAGATCCAATGTTATTTCTATAAAAACTTCAATGACATTTTCCAATGAAATTTTTTAAAAATACTGATGAAATGTATATGGAGCCACAAAAATCCTTGAATTGTCAAGACTTTTCTGAATAAGAAAGTAGGGAATGGTGGTATCACACTCCCAGACTTCAAACTATAGTACAAAGCCATAATAATCAAAACTGCATGGTCCTGGAACAAGAACAGGCATACAAACCAATGAAATTGAATAGAAAACCCAGATATAAATCCACAGCTTTATGGACAGCTAATCTTTGACAAAGAAGAAAAGAATATGCAATGGAACAATGTAAGTTTGTTCAACAAATGGTGCTGGGAAACCTGGGCTGCTGTGTGCCAAAAAATGAAGCTAGATGACTACACTCTACACTAAAACCAACTCAAAATGGATTAAAGACCTAGATATAAGATGTAAAACCATAAAATATATAGAAGATATTGGTGAAACTCTACATGACATAAACCTCAGTAACATCTTTAAAAATACATCACCCAAAGCAAGGATAGTGAAAGAAAGGATAAGCAGCTGGGACTACCTCAAATTGAAGAGCTTCTGTACAGAGACACTATATTTAACAAACAGACACCCCACTGACTGGGTGAAAATTTTTGTACATAATAAAAGTGATAAAGGACTGATCATAAAGATATACAAAGAGCTGACAAAACTCAACAAATATAAAGTGAACAACCCCATCAAAAGAAATGGGCAGAAGAGCTACAAAGACATGTCTCCAGAGAGGAAATGCAGACAGCCAACAGGCATATGAAAAATTGTTCAGCATCACTTTTAATAAGGGAAATGCAAATCAAAATCACAATGAGATAACACCTCACACGAGAATGGCACATATTAAAAAAACAAGCAACAATAAATTTTGGTGAGGATGTGGAGAAAAGAAACTCTCCTACACTGCTGGTGGGAATGCAAACTGGTGCAACTACTATGGAAAGCTGTCTGGAGGTTTCTCAAACTGAAAATTAGGGTTTCCATATGCTCCAGCAATTCCACTACTAGGTATCTATCCAAAGGACACAAAAACAACAATTCAAAAGGATACCTGTGCTCCTATGTTTATTGCTCCCTATTTGCCTTCCAGCCAAATGCCCAAAAATAGATGACTGGACCAAGAAGATGTGGTGTATGTATATAATGGAGTATCACTCAGCAATCAAAAAATAAATAAATAAATAAACTCATGCCATTTGAGGCAACATGGATGGAGCTGGGAGGGATCATGCTTAGTGAAATAAGCCAGAAATAAAAATAAAAATGCCAGATGGTTTCAGTCATAGTAGGAGTGTTAAGGAATCAGGGAAAAAATACATATGTGTATATATATATATATATATAACTAGTAACTGTAATAAAGTAAAAAAGAATGACAACTATAAACCACAGACATTCTACAGGGAGGAGAGGGAAACGAGATCAAATCTAGGGTGGGAAGAGAACGTGGGACTATGGTGATGGCACATGGGTGAAGTAGTGGTGGGAAGTCCAGGGGGATTACAACTAAGATGAAAAAATGTACAAAATGAAGGATAATGTAAAATACACATACCAAATTTTAAAATGAAATAATTCTACCTCCATTAGGAAAAAAAAAAAGGGAGGGGCCCTCCCCTGTGGTGCAATGGGTTAGGACGCAGCCCTGCAGCTGATTCAGTGTGAGTTCATCCCCAGCCCGGAGGTGACCCACATGGTGTGGCAGACCTCTCCTCACCAGCCTGCTACACCCCTCAGCAGTGTACTTCATTAATCTGCCTGTTTTACTCCCTGCTGTGTCTTTGGTGAAGCCTCTCACCACAATGAACCTCTGACCTTTACCCCAGTTCTATATGAATAAATAAATCTTTTTTTTTTTTTAAAGATTTATTTATTTATTCGTACAGAACTGGGGTACAGGCCAGAAATGCGGAGGGTGAGAGGAGTCACCAGAGACAGAGAGGGGAGCAGAACAGGCAGATCAATGAAGTACACTGCTGAGGGGAGCAGCGGGCAGGTCAGGAGAGGTCTGCCTCGCCATGTGGT